CCGGTCGCTGTGATTGGTGGTGTCCAATTGAGCCGTGGTCAATCGGGATCACCCCGCTTCAATGTTACAGTATCGCCGACATTAGCATTACCCAAAATATTTAATTTTGGAGACTGGCCAGTCAAGGCGAGATCGGTCGGTGGTCCGTGAATCTTGACCTTCAGTTAAGGGGATGCTGGAGTGATCGTCGAAGTTAATCAAGATCGATAGTACAGACTTTTTTAAATTCCAAATTCAACAATAGTGACATCTTTCATTCATTTCTTATACTTATTATATATCATTGTGTCTCACTCAAGCGAATTCATCTGTCCTTATCTAACATATTGCAACGCCATCTCTTAGAAAGAGATCAACTAAAATACTGCTCGGTTTCATGGCTAAACAGTCATACATCGTCGATTTCTCACGCACTAGACACCCAATTTCGTTCCTTGCGCTAATCTTTTTATTTAGGCGTCAAAACTTAATTCTAAAGATACGACTGTAATCGTCTATTTATTCTACATGTGCTCCTGCCCTAATTTCGAGCATATAACGCATATAATTTTTTCGAAGTAAAGCCAGCAGCACACGATACTTGTTTTCTTACTGGATTGCTAGCTGGATTAGATTCTTGCCATGGTATTGGCTGCGATGCTGACAGTGCCAGCATCGCAGCCAATACGGTGGCAAGAATCTAATCCAGCTAACAATCCAACAAGAAAACAAGCATCGTGTGCCGCCGTCTTAAATGTTTGGTGAGCTGATAGCACATGGATACAGGAATCTGTAATTTATTATTTTTCCCAGTTTTGGACACAAAATACACCAGGAGCAGGTACATTAGCACGGATATTTCAATCGTGGAGAAGGAATTTTTATTCTGTGCAACTAATTCGAAGAACCGCGCAAGGAACATAAATGCTTGCTTTATCGGTAAAAAAGAAGACTCCAGCATCCCCTTAACGCACAAACAAAAACATAACGCGTGGTATTACATATCTTGGGTAATACTAGTTCCGGCGATACTGTAACTTTGAAGCATTATAACTTGAAAAGTACTTCATGAAAAAATATTTTATTATAGCGTTTTGGAAAGCTCTCAACATCAGCTATTAGATTCTTGAATCAAAAATAGGGTGTTCTATTTAAGAAAATCAATGTAACCTTGATCTTACCTTGGCTACGCAACTCAAGGTCAAACTGATAGGATCAGTAAATAGATATTTTTAAACCATATAACTTTTGTCTGAAACACTTTTCTGTAAAACTTATATTTCCCGAGATATTTAGGAGATATATAGGTGTCCTAAACTTTTTGTTTGAATATATATATATGTGTGTGTGTATAATTTTACAATAATTTTTTATTTGATTATTAAAAAGCGTATCGGTTTCTTCCTACAATTATTGCTCGAAGACTACACATATAAGAGTAGTATATGGTATGATTTACTACAATTTATTAAAAATTGACTTGTTACTTTTGTTACGTCTAACCCTGATTATTATAGGCAAGAGAGGAAGGTGGAGAGGGTACGGAAGGACGGTCGACTCAATCTCACAGGTATACGCACGGAAGCGTACAGCTGTGAGTCGTTCGCACTCTGTTAAAGTCCAGAATGAGGGTCAACGTCCTGAAGGGACGCTATGACACCTGTTTCAATGGACAGTGCGAGCGTTGGTCCTACTTTTTAGGTCAAGGAACTTAATCCTTTTGACCTGGGACTGGACCTCGTGCAATCTTAAGTGTTACGGGAATACGGGATATTAGTGAGGGGCGATTTAAAAATTACTCGGAGGAATCTTTAGTAAAAATTTAAAAGCTATTTATTTCTATACGGCTAAAGCTAATTTACATGATTAAACTAAGTCTAGTTACGATA